TCAAATACATTTCTTAGCCTGGGGGTTCGTTCAATAAAGGGCTGATTATTGGGACACAGGTAGGTATTCTCATCGTTGCTAATCAATGGTACTCTACTGAGGGTGGGGCTGCTCGTGGCTCTCGTCACCCTGGCAGGTTCTAACACTGCCTCATTCTGGTCCTGTGGACTGAATGTAGAGGGAGGCGCTACCAGGTGGTGGCCATCTACCTCGTCTCCAGAGACGGATGTTTTGTCTCGAGACCCAGCACCCTCGGGGGTAAGTCCAAGGGTGCGTTGTTCTGTGATTCTCGTCCTTGAGCCGGTCAAGGGACGTGGACTTTCACGGCCTGTAGTACTTGGTAGTGCTGCCGTGGTCCGGTTCGGTCCGGTTCAGAGGGTCCTGGACGAGAACCGAGAACCGGACCACAGAGAACGGTTCTCTGTGGTCTGGTTCGGTTTTTTTCTGGTCCAAACTCGAACCGAACCCGAAAATTTTCAGCGGCGAGCATGAAAAAAAAAACATTGAAATACTAGTTTACACATTGAGTAGCTACTCCAATGACATGGCTACATACCCCTCTCTGCCTCTGTAGCCGCTGATCCAAGAGCTAACTGATTTGATCTATACAAATGGTGAGAATGAAATAAAACACAATAACAACCAATGCTTACCATGGGGAATGTGAACCTGCGGTGTCTGATCCAGACAAGCAATTTGAAGTAAGCTGCCGGTTAACCGCCATTAGGATGTGATTTCACTGGCGGAAAAAGGTGGTAAAATGTTAGTTCCCCTGCTGTGTGAATGACACGACTTTTACTCGAGCATATTAGCGAAAGCTCATTCAAGTCCCAATGTACGACCTCGGCTTTGTATACGGTGTGCTTGCGGTCAGATCCTAGATGGTATTTTAGTATACGCCTTTGCGGGTTAGTACGGCTGCGGCTCCTACCCCTCCACCGTGACTTGAGCAATCCGTAGACTATTGGTTGCTTTTTGACCGAGTTTTGCAGCGGATCTATCATTTCGACATCGTCGGGGTATATTTGGAAGGTTGTCGAGTGATGAATGGTGCTGGGATATGTTTTGGTGCTTGATGACGTGTTTGAGATGTGGGTGGAGAGGGTGGCGTTGGGGTAGAGTGGCGAGGCGTATCACAGCTCGATGGCATGTCTTCTGGAGGAGAAGGGGGGTGGGCAGTAGATTAGCATGTGTGTCTTTGCCGTTCCTATGGATCCCCTCTGTTCTCTTGTCGAGTCGTCGCGGAATATTGGTTTGAAAGTGGGGTGAGAGACAGCGGGCGAGAGACAGAGGGTGAGAGACAGAGGGCGAGAGCAGCCAGCGGGCATGTGAGACAGTGAGCGAGAGACAGTGGGTGAGTGAGACACGGCGAGCCAGCCAGCAAAAGCCAGCCGGCAAGAACAGCAAGCGAGTGAGAGGGGATGCGGTGAGGTGGCAGGCATCAACATAGGTGCAGGTAGCGTGGTGTGTGATGGGTTGTGCGCTGGTAGCGATGAGTGCTGGCCCTCGAGGGAGCCATCAGCATTCAGAGTACAAATCATAATACGCACCTCTGCAGCATAGTGCAAGACACAATCCCTCCAAAATCCACCTTGATCGCGCCTAATATTACCACCTCCAGTAAAAGGTAGTCTTGCGCAGTGTTGTAGCCGGTCCTCAATGAACAGAACCTCCTGTTATAGAGGTGAGTTGGTGAGAGACTTGAGAGTTTAATTAGTTAGTGCTTACCTTCGAAAAGGCTAAATGTAGCTTGATTAATCAACAACGTGAATCCCAAAGACGACAGTCTGATGTTGAGGCAGATGTTGTCGAAGTCGAAGTCGATAAGGGTTCGGAATGGTTCAGGAAGGCCGAACCAGAACTGGACCGTTTGGGAAGAGCTAGAACCGAGAACCGTTTTCCGGTCCGGTTCTAGCTGGCGCAAGAACCATGGACTGAACTGCGGAGAACCGGACCAAAAGTCCGGTTCGAACCATGGTTCTGGACCGGACCGCGGCAGCACTAGTACTTGGAGGTATTTATTCTTTTCTTGAGGATATCAGTAGTGTTTTGATGTTTTATGTGGGTAGAAGGATCGTAGCTTCAGAGGGTGATCAAGCCTCCTACGACAACAACCATAGTAGAGAATAGAGTTAGAGCTTAGAAATCAAGATCAAAAATATGTGGTGTTATGAATAACGTTCACACATGAAGGAAGTTGACTTTGGGAAACTTAGGACTCGAACAGGGATAATCTGACCGAACTAAGCATTTATTTGGGGGTAAAGGATCAACTGCCCTACCAGTAGATATACGAGTGTTTATATACTGTAGAGCCTGGAATCAAATGGAGTAACGACGACTAAAAAACTAGCTGAGTAAGAAACAAACATAACTACGAATAACGGTTGCCATCATTGATATGATGGCTCTTTTTAGTGAGTGTTACACTCTAGGCCTGAACTAGAAAAGGGAATTTATTTCAGGTGCACATCAAGTGCCTGGACGTTGGGAGTTGACACAGTACTAGTGGCACTTTACGGTACCTCATCATTCATGGATCCGGAGTCAGGGACCTCTACAAGTCACGACACATGTGACACCCAGTACTTGGGTATCACCTCGTAATGTTGTGCGGCAGCCCTAGCTCAGCAATACCCCGATGTTGGGTCAGGCACTGAAGCTCAAGTCAAACTAGACCTCCGGAGACTTTGGTCTCTAAAACCTTCGCAATAGAATATCGCTCGAAGAGTCGAAGATAATGAGTGGAGTTGCCTGACTGCCGATTTATAGTCAGTTCCATGTTTTCTGCGACAAGCTACCAGTGATGACTGTGTACTGCCACAACAACGGGATAACGGCGCGGATAGAACCGAACCGAACAAGATCGGCATTGAGGGAACTTCTAAGAATGAGACTAGTCTCAGCGTGATGTAAGCGGTGGAAACGAGGTATAACTTATTAACAAATGAATCTGTGGCTGAGCGCTGAATCGGGTATTGAAGGTGGTACTGTAGGACAAGTGAGAGTAGCATATGTGCCGAGCAATATGTATATGGATGTACAATTGTCCCAACTCTAAATGGTCATATGGGCCCCAAAAGCTGGTGACAGGCCTGGCTATCACGCGTAAGAGTTACCGTCGAGATCTAGAAGAACGAGGCACATGTTTACAGCACTGCAGACCTTGACCGGATGCTCTATTCTAAAATGTTGTCGTTTGGGACCTGGCCCGAGCGCTGCTAAACTTCCTAAACCGTACGCAAGCGCCTAAATGAACTTGGCATTATGATGGTCCTTAGGTTTCTTTTCCGACATATGTTTCCATTAGCTACTCACAAGCCGCAGGAAGAAGAGGTCGACAACACCTTCCCGAGAACGAAAATCGAGGTATGAGTTGCAATTCGTTAATGCTCGTTGTCGTAACTGATTTCAAGTATTTAAACCTGTTCGAGCCTCGATCGAGGCAACCAGGTATGAAGTTCTTACGTTACGCTGTTCGTACCTACAATCTTTCTCTCATAAAGTGTGGAGTCGGGGGCCAATATTCCGGAACGGTTATCGTTCCCGGGGCGAGCTGTGTACACAAAGCGATAAGATGCCAGCGCTCAGGAATACTCACATTACGTATAAAGTTTCTGATAGAACTCAAGGTTGCCTCGTACAAGCTTTTCCATCTTCTGACCCAATCCACATTGCGGGAGCACCATGGATCCCGAACAAAACTTGCCTAAGTTGCCTTTCATGCCCATTGAGCACTCTACTCAGCCCCAAGTCCAACAACAGCAGCCTTCGCCATCATCACTGATACTTGAAGACAACGGAGATCGTCCACAGACCCGGTCATCGGCGGCTGAGAAGCACTTACTTGGCAACGACAGTTTAGAGGGACATTCACCAGCTCGTGGTCGCAACGATCCATATGCAGATTTTGAGCCTGTCCCTCAGGCTCCTCCACCTACGAGAAGCCGGGACGGTCATATAATGCGCGGATTGTCGCGGCGCACCGTTTCAGGCCAGGCTCCCGTCAGCGCTTCTGGCCTTGGCTGGATAGTGCCCGTCGAAGAGAAACCTCACGTTTGTGTTGCTCCCCCTTTTTAGTTTACTTCGATTCTCAGCTTGAACCTACAGCGACGGACCATAGGAGAGCGACTTCGTCCAACTATTCTCCACGCGGAGAGTGAGAGGGAACGATACGCTGCAAAAGGTTGGTTAAATTGTCAACTATCACTCCTCTTCTGCTCAGTATGAGAGCACGATCCCTTATGGCTGGCATGTTCTGATGGCATTTTTTTAAGCAAAAATGACAGGCTGGGCGTTGAACGTTGCGATAGGTTTACAAGTTTTGCTTGGGGCGCTTACTACGGGTCTTGCAGCGGCATTGTCCGGTAAGCAGGTCAGTTTGAAAGTGCATACATATTATTTTACGATAAACTAACTCTCATACAATCCCAGGTTTCGATCGGTACCTCTATTCTTGGTGGGTATTCATGTCCCCTACATTCAAAACTATCCTGAAGTCCATGGCCTAGGTGGCATGTCGACCTTGGTTGCTTCCTACCTTGCTCGCGCAAGGGGATCAAATGAACCAGAACTATCTATCACTCGTGTGAAGGACCTGGATCACTTTTTAAGAGACTGCCTTGCCTTGGAAATGGACCATGGACATCAATATGGAACACCTGAAAATGGGCTGAATCTTCAACTCGAGTATCTCAGAAAAAGGTTTGAGGAACTTCTTGGAAATGCTGATGGGTAGGTCATCTCGCGCTCGCTTTGCTATGATATGTTGAAATTTGACGAACCTACTTTAGGCAGCGGAAGCTTTCCCCACCTGTTTGAGTGTACTTCTGGACTTCAATTAAGGTTCAACCCCGCAAACAAGACGGGTGACAAGACTAGTTTATGACATGCGCAACCCTCCTAGTAATTTATCTGCAAGCCGATATGTAGACCTCTCTAAAATAGTATCCAACGTCACCTTACCGTCCCGAAACACTCACCGCAGATGGTGACTCTTGCTAATATCCAAAATCTTCACTCGTTCCGTAAGCGCAGAATACAATACGATGACCGCGGTACATGATTTGTAGATAGGCACGCAGCCCACCGAGCATGATCTTCAAATCATCGAAGTTCATGTGTCTACGCATCGTGTTGACGACAGATTCGGGCTGTTCGTAAATCTCCTTCTGCATGAAGTAATCAAACTTGCCCTTCATGATCTCGGCGATTTCAATCTCGAGCGTCTCGATGTTGCGAATGGCAGGTATCTCGGCCTTATCAGACTCATCCCGGCGCAGACGGCGAATGTGCAATTGACCTTCAGCAATGTGAGCGATGTCATCATCTTCCAAGTAGAGTATGCGCTTGGTGTGCTCCACAATGGCGGAAGCGTCAGAGGCAATGAAGAATTCGATGGGTTGGGGCATGCCGTCCTCGGACATGAAGTTGCAGGACCAACGGCGAAAAACCTTGGGTAACGATGGAGGCGCCAATCGAGAAGTGGGGGAAGTGGGAACATCAACTAGAAGAGCACTTAGCGAAGGACGAGATAACTAACTCATGGCTTTCGGCTTTGGTGTCAGCTTCCGCTCCAGCAAACTCGACATTCAAGAAGTCGACTTTGAGTTTCTTGTCAGTCTTAACACCAATCAGGAGGGGCGTTAGGTCAGAAGCTCAAGTCGAACTGGACCTCGGTCTCTAGAACCTTCGCAATAGAATATCGCTCGAAGACAACGAGTGGAGTTGCCTGACAGTCAGTTCCAGGTTTTCTGCGACAAACCACCAGAAATTTCAGTGACGGCAGTGTACTGCCCCAATGAATGTAAGGGCTGACAGCGCGGATAGAACCGAACGGAACAAGATCGGCATTGAGGGGAACTTCTTCTGAGAACGAGACGAGTCTCAACGTGATTAGTAAGGACAACACTGACTCAAGGTGGAAACGATATGATGAAGGTGTGGCTGACTCGGGTGTTGAATAGCCTGAGTACATAACGCATGGGTACTGAGTAGCATAACTGAGTCTGTGCTGAGTAATATGTATATGGACGTACAATCATTGTTCCATCATACTCCAAATAATCACATCAGTGCCAAGGGAAAGCTGGTGACAGGGCTGTCGGGAGTAACGAGTCACCGTTGAGAACTAGAAGGACGAGGTACATGTTTTACCTCACTTACAGCACTGCAGGAGAATGTCCATGTCACTTGGTGGATGTTTGATTCCAAAATGTCGTGGACCTTAGTAAGCCCGAGCACCGCTATCGTGCCTAAACTTTACGCAAACGCCTAACTAACCTTGGCATTATAATGCTCAAGTTTTTTTCCAACACATATTTCCATTAGTTACTCATAAGTCGTAAGAGAAAGAGGTCGACAACACCCTCCCGAGAACGAAAATAGAGGCATGAGTACCGAGTTTCAATTTCAACTCGTTAATGCTCATTGCTGTAATTGATTTCGGGTATCTGAAATCTGTTTGAGCCTGGATCAAGGTATGTCCTTACGTTATGCTGTTCGTACCTCTTCTCTCATAAAGTGTGTCGGCAGCCGAAGTAATGTTCCGGAACGGTTGACATTCCCGGGGCGACAAAGCGATAAGACGCGCCAGTGCTCAGGAATACTCACCTTCCGTATAAAGTTTCCGATGGGACTTAAGGTTGCCTCGCACAAGCTTCTCCATTTTCTGACCCAATCCACATTGCGAGAGCACCATGGATCCCGAACAAAACTTGCCTAACTCGCCTTACACCCCCATTGAGCACTCTACCCAGCCCCAAGTCCAGCAACATCAGCCTTCGCAATCATCACTGGGATTTGAAGATAACGGAGATCGTCCACAGACCCAGTCATCGGCGGATGAGAAACACTTACTTGGCAATGTCAGTTCAGAGAGACATTCACCAGCTCGTGGTCGCAACGATTCATATGCGGCCTCTGAGCCTGTCCCTCAGGCTCCTCCACCTACAAGAAGCCGGGACGGCTCATATGATGCGCGGATTGTCGCGGCGCACCATTTCAGGCCAGGCTCCCGTCAGCGCTTCTGGCCTTGGCTGGATAGTGCCCGTCGAAGAGAAACCTCACGTTTGTATTGCTCTCCCTTTTTAGTTTACATCGATTCTCAGCTTGAACCTACAGCGACGGACCATAGAAGAACGACTTCGTCCAACTATTCGCAATGCGGAGAGGGAGAGGGAACAATACGCTGTAAAAGGTTGGTTAAATTGTCAACTATCACTCCTCTTCTGCTCAGTATGAGAGCACGATCCCTTATGGCTGGCATGTTCTGATGGCGTTTTTTTAAGCAAAAATGACAGGCTGGGCGTTGAACGTCGCGATAGGTTTACAAGTTTTACTCGGGGCGCTTACTACGGGTCTTTCGGCGGCATTGTCCGGTAAGCAGGTCAGGTTGAAAGTGCACACATATCATTTTACGATAAGCTAACTCTCATACAATTCCAGATTTCGATCGTTGTCTCTGTTCTAGGTGGGTATTTCATGTCCCCTACACTCAAAACCTTCCTGAAGTCCACGCCCCAGGTGGCATGTCGACCATAGTTGCCTCCTATCTTGCTCGCGCAAGGGGATCAAATGAACCAGAACTATCTATCGCTCGCGTGAAGGACCTGGATCAATTTTTAAGAGACTGCCTTGCCTTTGAAATGGACCATGGGCATCAATATGGAACACCCGAAAATGAGCTGAATCATCAGCTCGAGTATCTCAGAAGAAGGTTTGAGGAACTTCTTGGAAATGCTGATGGGTAGGTCATCTCGTGCTCGCGTTGCTATGGTATGTTGAAATTTGACGAATCTACTTTAGGCAGCGGAAGCTTTCCCCACCAGGGCCTATGACCCCAAATGTCTCCACTCTGAAACAGCAGCTTTCCCCACCTGTTTGAGTATACTTCCGGACTTCATTCCCGCAAACAAGACGGCTGGTGACAAGATTAGTTTATGATATGCGCAACCCTCCTAGTAATTCATCTACAAGCCGATGTGTAGACCTCTCTGAAATAGTATCCAACGTCATTTTGCCGTCCCGAAACACTCACTACAGATGGCGACTCTTGCTGGTGTCCAAAGCCTTCCTTCGCACTTGTCCACCATATCGGAGAGGGTGATCAACCCCTCGAAAATGTAAGTGATGATCCACAACAACCTCTCCAGCGCGTTACAGTGCCGCCCTGCAGAATGCGTCATTGAAGATGCCAATAGCAGTCTGAGAGACAGCAGGTGTTTAAACCGACAGAAAAGTCAAATTTTCTTTCAAGGTGAGTCGAGTGTCCACCTTACGATGATTGTACCTAAGATGTAGAACAGAAACACCCCTGCTAATCAGTAGATGCGATCTGGACAGTGACACGTTCACAAGAGCATGACTACTATGGGACCATCAGTGGTCGGGTGTGATCAAGCAGCCAAACATAAAGGTGGCAAGAGACTGACTCTAGATCGAACACAAAGTCAAGGCGGCCCTACAAGGAACCAAGGACTCCCATACTAATTCTGTAGTTAATTGTCAGATACTTGAGCTACGACTCGCAGTCATTTCAAGCTTTACGCGTACGCATTGATCGGTATTGTCAGCTTGTGTGCTTTGCGAGACAGTGTCATGAGCTTGTCTCTCTGCGCAGCGTTCAGTTGCCCTTGATACCACTTCAGTGACAGTTGGAGTTGGCAATGACAGGCAGAATGGTTACGAGTCTACGTCAGGAGCTTGTCTCTCTGCGCTCCGTTGACCTTCAGTGACATGACAATGACATACGATAGGTTTCCCATGTCTTGGAATCGACGACTGAACATAATCCACAAGGCAATAATTTCATTGTCTTACTGTACAAGTTACAACAAAACCGCGGACGTTCACTTGATCCATCATATCCTTCAAGTCGTGCCTCGTCATCTCCAAATAACTGAATCCAGCGCTCTGGTCATAAAGACAGTTGCTGAGGTATATGGTATACAGAAGGCGACAAACAAAGGGAGATATACGGTATCGGATGAGAGAGTCGTGAAGTAAAAGAAAGAAAGGTTGAAACCGTCCATGAATGCAGATCGTCCGTTGTCCAGTGCAAAACCAAATCAAGTCCGTGAAAGCGGTGTATGTGTACAGTAATTTTGAGGTGCATGATGATAACCTGAGCTAACAATACGCATGTCACGGCTGGTCATTTACTCGGTCGTGACTGACTTGGCCCTGCAGGACGAAGTGAGCGTCAAACATCAAGATACTACAACTCAAAAACTCACAAATTACGCGGGAAGTCGACGTCAAACCCGTTCTTGATGGCCAAGTGGTAGCTCAACAGCTGCAGGGGAATAATGTTCAAAAGACCTTGCAAGCAGTCCATAGTGCGAGGAACGCGAATGGTCTTCACCCCAGCCTTGATTCCGGTGTCGCCCTCGTTGCAGACCACGATAGGATGAGCTTTGCGAGCGGTTATCTGTTCGAACGCGGACTGGACCTTCGGGTATAGCGAATCCTGGGTCATGATGATGATGACCGGCATGTTCTCATCGATCAACGCCAAGGGACCGTGCTTGAGCTCTCCTGCAAGGATACCCTCCGAATGCATATAGCTAATCTCTTTGATCTTGAGGGCGCCCTCGAGGCAAGTAGCATGCCTAAAAGAGATAATCGATCAATCTTACGGTTTGGGTCATGAATGAGAGCTACTGACTGATATCCACGACCCATCAGCAACAAGCTGCGCGAGTTTGCAAGGAGGCTATTGGCAAGCTCCCGCAGGCTCTTGTCATTTTCGAGAACACTCTTGATTTGCGCGGGGAGAGCACGAAGGCCATCGATGATCTGGTTGCGGCGTTCAGTGAAGGAGATCCGATCCTCTGATAGCTGCAGCGCCATCAACATCAGTGCGATGTACTGGGAGGTATATGCCTACAAAACGTTCATGTCAGATGGTTAACAAAATGGAAAGATTTCCATACTTTGGTAGACGCAACGCCGACCTCAGGGCCAGCATTGATGTGAATACCACAGTGTGTTTCACGTGAGATCGTCGAACCGACAGTATTGACGACCCCCACACAAAGGGCGCCACGCTCCAAGCAGTACCGCAATGCCAGGATCGTATCAGCAGTCTCTCCACTCTGGCTGACAAAGACACAGATGTCATCGCGGAAGATGGGAGTCTTCCTGTCCAGGAAGTCGGATGCGAGTTCTACACTGACAGGGATTTCCGTCAACTCCTCGAAGATCGCACGAGTTGCCAACGCAGAGTGATAACTCGTTCCGCAAGCGCAGAATACGATACGACGACCGCGGCGCATGATGTGCAGATAGGCACGCAGCCCACCGAGCGTGATCTTATAATCATCGAAGTTCACGCGTCCACGCATCGTGTTGACGACGGATTCGGGCTGTTCGTAAATCTCTTTCTGCATGAAGTGATCAAACTTGCCCTTCATGATCTCGGCGATTTCAATCTCGAGCGTCTCGATGTTGCGAATGGCAGGTGTCTCGGCCTTACCAGACTCATCCCGGCGCAGACGGTGAATGTGCAGTTGACCCTCAGCGATGTGAGCAATATCATCATCTTCCAAGTAGAGCACACGCTTGGTGTGCTCCACAATGGCGGAAGCGTCGGAGGCGATGAAGAATTCGATGGGTTGGGGCATGCCGTCCTCGGACATGAAGTTGCGGGACCGACGACGAGAAACCTTGGGTAACGATGGAGGCGCCAATCGAGAAGTGGGGGAAGTGGGAACAGCAACTAGAAGAGCATTTAGCCAAGGTTAGATCGAGGGACGAGATAACTCACGGCTTTCGGCTTTGGTGTCAGCTTCCGCTCCAGCAAACTCGACATCCAAGAAGTCGACTTTGAGTTTCTTATCAGTCTTAACACCAATCAGGAGGGGTGAACCGCGACGGGCAGTCACGATCTCATTCGGGAAGTGGATAGACTTGAAGACCAAGGCGAAAGAACCCTCGAGTTCTTTCAGGACGGTCTTCACAAGAGCTGTGAAGGTCATGCGTTTGTCAGGCCGAGAGTCGTAGACGTATTTTGTCAGAATGGCGACCGCCTCCGTGTCAGTGTCAGACTCGAACTTGAAGCCACGCTTCTGCAGGACTTGCCGAAGAGCTATGGCGTTGGTCACGATACCATTGTGCACAACGATGAACTCGTTGTTCACATCAGAGCGAAGGGGATGGCAATTGGCAACGGAAGGAGGACCATGGGTTGCCCAACGGGTGTGGGCAATAGAGACCTGGGATATCACCGTCTTGGTGGTGTCGATGTTGGACTCTGCAATACGCTGCCGTAAGCCGGCAACCTTGCCAACCTCCTTGAAAAAGACAATTTCGTTTGTCTTGTCGCCATCGATACCGAGTCCAGCAGAATCATAACCACGGTACTCTTGACGAGCTAGACCCGTGCAAAGAATCTCCAGGATCTCCTTACGATCCTGTAGGTGAAGTTAGCTTAACGTAATATCAGGGAACACGTAATGAAACCGCGAAGCAAAGGCTGTAGGTAAGGCTACTAAATATGGCAACCCAATCATGGTGACATCTCAGTCGAAATTGCTCCAAGGCTCTCAACATCGCGCGCGGAGTTGTAGAGACGAAGAGAATAAATGCGCCACCACGATGCAGAAGCCAGAAATAGCTTGCATCGGAAAGAAACTTGCCTTTTCTTTCAAGAAGTTGCAGTAGCCAAAGATGCCGCACATTGTGATTCTAGGGTAAACAGAGGTGTCTATATGCGCATAATAATGGTATGATCAGTTTATCAACACCATAGATAGTGAGCTCAAACAAACCTAATATAAAGGAGGGCTGGCGTCAAAGGGCGTTGTCGAGGTCGGTGAACAAGAACAAAGCTTGAGTGACGCGGTTTAAGTACTCTAATTGTGGGTCAAGGGTGCGACAAATAATGCCAAATAAATCGGACGTGGCGGACAGACACACAGCATCGGTTAAGTTTCAGAGCCTTCAGCGTGATGGAGGCTGCGCAACTTGAAAAATGTACGTCCAAGCCTTTCGGTTCAAATACTCAGGCGATTTGATTGAGGCACGCACTGTGATCTTCCCAACTTTGCCGACCACTATCAACGCTTATTCGTCGCTTCCGTGCATATAACGTCTTACTCAAGCCTCATCACCATCCTTTTCATCGCTTCTGAACTTCTGGTGCGTTTTCAACCAGACGCGTAGCACGATAGTTTAGGTATTCCTTGCAATTGACGTGTTGTAATTAGGATCGCCTCATTCATTTCTGAACAGCGCCCCCTGCCAGAAATAGAAGATTACAATCAAATTACCCTCGTAACGTTGTTATTTCAAGACGATCATTTCACAGGTTGCATCATTTTTGCTGCGCAGCAGATAAGAATATGTGACAGGCTAAACATATATCGAGTTCTACATTGCCATGCCAGTGCAACAACCCAAGTTCGTTCGGGTGAGTCGAGTTATATATGGCGTGTCCTGGATATTGATGGCCATATTTCCCAGGCATACTTACTAAGGCCCTAGGGTACATTGCATGCATGTCGGATTGAACAATCGCATAGGGCATGTGCATGAACATATGACTGACAGCAATCAGGCTGTAGCTTGTATTTGTCGTGTTTGCGCCCGGGCTCATTAATCGTTAGTTGATCCAACGTGACAAGTTCACTTGAGGCCAATTACGTATTGAAGAGGACTGACGCCGCTTGTCTAATCTTATCAACGGGCATCCGATTGAAGTTCTTGGATCCTGTACATTCAACGAATCACCAAGATTGCAATGTAATGA